AAAAAAAAAAAAAATTCGGACCCAAACTACAAAATAGGGCCCGAGGAAGGAATTTCGAGAGAAAGGAACTAAATCCAGAGCTTAGACTCAGCCCCCAGTATTGAGCCAGGCAGAGACACGGGTACAGAGCCTGGGACACTGTCGGAGCCCAGAGTCCACATTTCCACCCAAATCAAGTGCAGAGGCCAGCAGTGAGTAACATGGCTGGGGCTCTTGGTTTTCTTTTTGAAATCCCCAGTCCTCCCAGCTTGGACTAAATATCCTTCATAGCCAGCAACTCTGGGAGACCCCAGAAGCCCCGGGAGGAGACYCTCTTGGAGGGAGACATTTCATGTCTATCTGAATGGGTGGGGACAGCTCGTCTGTCTGTCCCTACTTCTTCCTGCCGTTCTCAGGCCGCCCTGAAAAGAATTCTTATCCCAGTCGAAGAAAGTTCCAGAAACTCCAGGGCTTCTGAGAGACTGTCAAGGGAACTTAAAAACAAACTTGACAGATGTCCTTGGAGCAAGCCTTCTCCCCTCTAGGGAGACCATGTGTTTGGGATTCTGCCTAGGCAAAGTCCCTTGTAGACCGTTCTTTGTGGCCCTCTTAGTTCACCTGGCTTYAGTCTTGGGGACCAAGCCTGCTGTCACCATTGTCGAACAGTCTGGACCTAAGGTGGAGCAAACTTGAAGTCCCAGCCGACTAGGAGGTTGGAAAAAGAGGGAAATCAGGGCAAACCCTCCCCCTGCCCCTTACTTTGAGAGGAAGTAACCTGCCCAAGGTCCCTCAGCTGGGACCCAAACCCAGGTGTCCTGACCATTAGCACAGGTCTCTTTCTGCTCCGTAGCACCCTAACAAAGACCTGTGACCCCTGCCCACCCATAGACAAGTTATTTGAGGCCTGTCATCTGGCAGGGACACCAGGCCTCTCCTTGGATATGTTCTCAGGATCAAACACATAGAGAAACCTTGGGTTATTGACAAATGATCGAAGATAACCTTAGAAAACAGTTGTAGGATGGATAGGTAGATAGAGAGTTAGATAGATAGAATAKAAGTGTATATTTATATACTGCACTCTACATTTTCCAAAATCTTGCCATTATTTTTCGAGTTTCCTAGTTGGCAGAAATAGATACTCAAGCCAAAGCCTCCGTTCCTCTAGCATGACCTGGCTAAGGGTGGGTTTGAGAAGTGAGGGATCATTAGTCAGAATTCCTCCTGTTTCCATTTCCAGCAACACTTCCTGTACCCAGGRATCCAGAAACAGAACTTGCATCATCTGTAATCTCTGGGGGAAAAAAAAAAAAAAACCTTTGCAAATTTTTATCCAGGAAGAAAAACTTTTATTTTTGCCTTCATCCATTGATCCTGCCCTCCATTCACTCAGATGAGCATTTACTGAGCACCCAGTGTGTGCCCGGCTGGGTGCCAGGAGCACAGTAGGTCATAATCAAGATGCAATCTGTCCCCTGCCTCCTTTTCCTCTCGCTTGCCATCTTCAGGGGGAGGGCAGCCATTCAACCAGGAATTGAAATCCAGGTGTGCTCTAGAGATAASGAGTCTCTGGATCAGTCAGGAACAGCTTCTTAACAAAGAAAGATATCATCCAACATCTTCACTGGCTTCCCTTTCTCTTTAGAGACCGCAGTTTGAGGCTGGGTTTCTGGAACAATCAGATAGTGCCATGGGTGGGGAAGGAGAGGTAGGATGGTCCACGGAGCCACTCCCTTCTAGAAGACCAAAGGCACAGAATCACCGAAAAGCTGAGCAGAGACAGATACCCACTCACGTGGCCTCTTTCCATGGAGTGGGGCGGGGCTGGTCTGTCGAGCAGGGTTCTGAGTTCCAAGTGTCACCTCTCAGGTAGCATTTCTCAGACTTCTGCAGGTACCACCTATTCCCACCCTCTCCTTCAAGCACACGGTCTCTAGATGGCCACACCTGGTTCTTCCAGCCTACCTGAGAACAGGCTGAGATGTTCCAAAAGAATTTAAAGGAGGGGAGGATTTAAAAAGAAACAGAATCAGAAAATTCAAAGTCACCTCAACGATGTCCTTGTGAGCTAGCCGTGGCCAGTCGTCCACCATTTGGCTTTCTTCTTTGGACTTCCCCTGATCGTCTTCTGCTCTTCTAAGATAGGATCGGGCCACAGTCACAAGRACCTTCTTGGAGGATTTATAGGAAGCCCGTGGCATGAGTCACCTCCTCTAGATGAGGTCTACTCTTCGCACATGGCTTCAGATGCTTTCGTCCCCAAAGGAATGATCCCAACCCAGAGGACCACCCTCTCCCAACTTCTAGGGTACAGTTCTCAAGTACTTTCCAGAAGGATCTACTCGCAGGACACAGGCCTTAAAGGCCGATGCTATTTGGACAGGAGGCTGCCTGCAGCCTGGGTCTTCACCAGAAGAGCCAATGAGAAAGGACTTCCCAAGTCAGGGATGGTGGGAAAACAACTTCTGCCCCAGGCTCCGGGGCAGGAGAGGCCAGGTAGGGCGACGGTGCCCGAGGAGACCCCAAGGGGGACAGCTGTCCATCTCCTCACTCCGGATAGGCCCGCCTTCTGCCCCACACCCAGCCCTGGAACTCCCAGACCTCGCAGGGCCCTCACACAGTTCAGTTCCCGCTGGGGTTCGACCTAGTGTCCGCGGGGGAGATCCTGAGGGCCCATGGGAATGGATTCAGAGTGAGATCCCTGGCTCAGGGTGGTTCTAAATGGGCAAAAGCCAAGAAGCGCACYCTCAGTCAAGCCCTCATTCATGGATTTATTCCCTCCACAAATACTCAGGAAGGGCCTCCTCCATGTCAGGTACTCTTCTTGGTACTGAAAATACAATAGCAAAGAAGCAGACCAGGGCCGCGCCCTCCTACAGAGAAATCACAAATAAACAAGACCATGTCCGGAAGCAGTCAGCGCCATGCAGACAATTAAAAGGATGCAAAGGGATGCATGGATAATAAAGGACAAGGAGGCATTGGAGTTTCCCCCTGGACACAGGAAGTGACACACAGAGTGCCCAGGCTTGGACACCCTCCCCACCCATAGCACGCACTGACCAGGCAAGAGGAGGTGAAGCAGATGGGACATGCAGGAGGCGCCCCACCATCCAGAAAACGGCTTCACCTGCATCTGTAGCAGGGTCCTCTTTGGCCACACCCACCAGAATATATTTCTTTTCTTTCTTTCTTTTTTTTTTTTCTTGTTGTTGTAAAACTGCTTGAATCGAGTTCTGTCCACATTACAAGCTCTGGGGTGAGCAATCTCCCAAGTATCTTTCTTTCTCTCTTTCTTTTTTTTGTGGTGCTGGAGATTGAACCCAGAGCCTTTTGCGTGCAAAGCACAACTGACCCACTAAGCTAGATCCCCAGCTCCCAAATATATTTCTGATACTAGTTTTGTCTCCCTCCCTCGCACACCCCCCACTCAGACACCCCAAGGGGAAGTGGGGAACTGCACAGAGACATTTCGCCTCTATCAGGGGCACATCCTAAAAGAAGCAGCTCTCGTGAAAGGYGTTTTGCAGAAGGAAACAAGCCCAGCAATAGTACACCCTTATCCATTGGTGCCCATAAAGCCTGGATTTCAGTTCAGCCCCAGGAGACTGGCCAAACTCGAATCAGCCAGTCCTTTCCGACCCTGCGCTCTGCAGTCTGACATAACTCTGGTTTCAGCCAGGCAACCTCCCTGGGGTCACTGAATCCAACGCATTATCTTTTATTGTTCTGTAATGACACAGCCATCAGGGCTGTCCCTGCAAGCCACAGGGGCTGTGTTGGGGCCCTACTTAGCAGTGATACGGTCAGGTAAGACTCAGCCACCCACTGTGCAATCCTGGGCCAGTCACTTTACCTAGAACGGCCTCCATTTTCTCATGTCACACAATGGGGTGAGGACCCCAGCTCCACCTGCCCTCCAGGTGGGTGGGGTGAGGCTGGGAAGAGGTCATAGACTGACAAGGATCCCCCAAAAGTTAAGACATCTTGCAGAAGAGCTCACACTCTGATGGATGGTCCCTGGTCAAACTTGCCCCAGACTTTAGATAGTAAACTGGGGTTCATGCCCCACCCCCATAACACACACACTTAAAACCAGAGAGAGAAAGCAAGCTCAGACTAGCCGGGAGAATGGAGTCGTGGCATTTTTTAAGCCTGCTCTCACAGACCTTGGAAGCTTTAGGTTTTGTTGCTCAGGATGCTAGAAACATCTTTAGAGGGAAYCTCTGGCTCCTGAAGACCCAGATTCTGCTTTGCAAGGCTTTGGGGGTGGGCTTTGGAGCAGCCCCTTAGAATCCTGGATTGTACCAGYGAGTGTGGAGTGGACCCTGCTCAGCTCCTTTGGCGGAGCAGAGASCTGATTTCCCCCCACGGGACCATTTTAACTCTGTGCGGTGAATGGCTTCTTTTCCAAAGAAGGAGGCCTCCCAGACACAGGGGGTGCTGTTGAGCGGGTTTCTGTGCAGGACGCTCTATCTAACAGCTAATTCTCTGCTACTCTCAAAGACACACCCCCCCACACACACACACACCCACTGCCCCCAACACACACCCACAACTCTTTAGGACAATCTTTAAAGGAACTCAGTGATTTAT